TCCCCCTAAAACGCCTCAGTGTCAGCAGAGAATAAGACTGTAAAACTACCTTTCTCTGAATGTAATTGGCACAATTCAGGAGAGCCGTCTCTATCTTTTCTTCGAATTTATCATGATGGACCTGCGGAAGTATTTGGATCAATTGCCAGAGGATCAGTATCTACCAAAGAAAACTGTGCAACGCTTTGCTTTCCAGGTGCTACTGAAGGCTCATATTAGTACTCTTCTATACAGTCGGCCTGTTTTCCGTGAATGTCCCCCTCTGCGATTGAATCGCTCTACTCGTGAAGTATCAACGTACTTCGTCACGTTCATAATCACGAGTCGAGCGATTCGAGCGAAATTCGGATTTGAGGTCTGCAACAGAGCGGTTCCACTAAGTCGTTGGACAATTGCGACCAATCCTAGTTCAGCCACAGTCGAGTTCTTTTGACCATTGCAGTCCAACGACCAGCGGTGCAACGCGAACTGTCGCATTTGCGGTCGAAATCGCTGATGTGGCGAAGTATGAACACGATTCCGTCCAAAGCACGCGCTTTCGCTAGAAACCAGGTTAACCCTTGAAAGCCTTTGAAACGCTCACATTCAGATTTGTCAAGCGTTGTGCTTCATGCACCAACGTCGAGTGCTCCACCGCGATTTGAAACCTCAAAACCTGCTCGTGGACGAAAAAGGCGTCATAAAAGTGGCGACAGACTTCGGCCTGTCACGTATTGCGAATAAACTATTCCATATAACGGATCTATACTGCAGTGAGGTAAGACCAGAACACTTGTACCTGTTACTCGTCTAAGACTTGTTGGGGGACGGGTATGAGCCTAGCGTTACTCACTGATGTAGAACCTTTCGTGACCACATCTCAGTTTCTGTATGACTTTGCGACTTGTTTGACCTGCTTACACACTCAGCACATCCGCCAAGGATAAAAAGAGTAGCGACTATCGATTATACGCGGGTAGAATCAATACTCATTTTCAATATGGGCGCCATTCAACAAATGGTGGAACCATTTTGAATGAGCGCTTTTCTTTCCGTATTAGTTGTAGCTTAGTAATCGTGCAGTGCTGTATTTTGGGTTACACAGGTGACTTTGAGTCACCCCCTCCAAAACTTGGAGAGAAAAAATGTATAAAGGATTATAGCCGTTGAGATACTATATGAAATCATATGAAAATTGTATTATTGAAGGAATGCTGAATGCATAACTGCTCTGTATTTTGTCCCTAGCACCCCGGCAATTGTTCAGAATCACGCTTATACTGCGGCTGGGTATGTGACAAGAGAATCGTAATTCGCCGCGCTAATGGGCGTCGCGTGCGACGTCGCGCCGCAAATGACGATGGTTCCAGGTAGTAGATGGCGACAACAGGCAATTCAGAACCGAAAATAGTCATGAATGTTCACGATGACAAGGTCCACATAAAGTCCGGTGCTCCTTCCGACAGGTTAGAGTTAAGAAGTCACGCCTATCGCCGCGCGCGGCAGAGCGGCAAATTACGACTCTCTTTCCCGTCTCCATTGCGGCTCTCAATGAATTTCAGGGAGCATTTGAGCATTTCAAAGGAACAGACAGTATTTAGGTAGTAACTTTGTGGTATCGAGCACCAGAGATCCTGCTCGGAGCTCATCGTTATGCCGCCGCCTATTGATGTTTGGGCAATCGGATGCATTCTAGCGGAGATCGTGACCAAGACATCGCTTTTCAAAAGTGATTCAGAAATCGATCAACTATTCCAAACATTCAGGTAATAGGTAAGTAATGATCGCTGGCACTCCAGAAAGACAGTGACATTTCAGGTTGCTTGGTACCCCGACTGAGAAACAATGGCATGGTGTGATGAAAATGCCTGAATTCAAGGCTCGGTTTCCCAAATGGAAAAAGAATCTGTTGGACGAGAAACTACGACCCTATTGCGACAGTCGTATGATTAACCTGATCCAGGTGAGATGTCAGATTACGGAAAAGGTGCAGGTCGCAAAAGCCTGGGGGGGGGGAGGGGAGCTTAGAGATCCCTTGTGCAAAAACTGAAGGCTCTTGGGATTTCACGAACGCAGTTATAATGCCGCATCTGGGGGGGGGGGGGGGGGGGGGGGGGGGGGGGAAGGGGGGCGTGACTGCACGCTTTACTTGCGGAGGATCCTTTTCATGGAATATTTCCATTAAATGACGTTTTGTCCTTTTTTCTACTGAACGAGTCATGGTTGTGACCGCTCTGAAACTGCACTATAACTCAGGAGCCCAGAGGCCGCCGTTTTTGAATTAGGTACGCAGTCACGGACTCTACAGCTTTGGGATATGGAGTGTACTTACAGGAGGTTCGTACTCGATAATCTCAGTTTTGCACAACGAGCGCTTTGCAAGTAAAGTCCACGATTGCCGCTAGTGGGTGATGGGGTTCACTTACAAATGTCAAAGTGCTAGGCAGTTCAACAGTTCCGTCGATCTTCTCCAGCGTCGGGAATTGGTGGTCCTGCGGGAGGTCTTGTGGACACACAAACAATTTCAAATATATAAGTATATATGAAAGGCTTTTTTGGTGTGCCAGGGCATTTTCTTAGCACCCTACAATTTTATAGCAACTATGAAACTGCAAAGTCTTCCCCACCTCCCACAATTTTCACCACGTTTTTGTAGGAAATCGGGATAATTTACAAAAGCCTAAAAAGGATATGGTGAAGGCGTCTATAAACCCTTCCCAAAGCACGCGTTCTTCCTCCATACAGAATCGTGTGGCATTTCGAATGGAATTTCGCAAGTACAAAGAACTGAGGGAACCAGATGATGCAGAAGTCAGTGTGGGACCTTTTGTTGGCCAGGGGAAGATCAGGGAGAAGGGCCATCCAAATTTTATCCCTCTACTGCAAGGGGCGGAGGTGATTTAGTGGCAATCAAGCCGTTTTCGAGTCCGCGGTCAGACACCGGACCGGCTCACGCCTGACTCAGCACCCTAAGGGCACGGTAAATTGATACCAGATCGCTCTGGGAGGATGAAAACACTGATTTGTACAGCTTTTGGCTTCCATGGTCATTGGATAGGTCATGTAGCACTCAAAATGTCACTAAGATTGTTAATCGGAGTAAAATGTGTACCAAGTACTAAAGAGGGATTGACCCTTGGCGATAGCTTCACACTCTATTTACCGCGCGCAGCATCATCTGGCGGTACAGAGCTTCCACCCAAGAAGAATTTACATGAAGGAATAAAGTGCCCAGTTCGATTTGGGGCACATATTTGGCTTCTACTTGGCAAGTTCAATTCGTTAGGCTGCGTTCATACTTGGCGGCAGCGGCCACCTGCGTCCACCAGCGACCATCAGCGTTTTGAGCGTCCGTCAGCATCAGCGACTAAGAACGCATAGATACCGATCCAGCGAACAGGAGTATCTATCAGCGTATATCAACGTCCACCAGCGTACGACAGTGACCATCAGCGTCTCGAAGGACTACGAAAGTATGGATATCGATCTAGCTCTACCAGCGTCCACCAGCGATTAGGAGTAGAGAGTATGGGGAAGTAGGAGAGTAGCAGACTGCTGGTAGAGTATGAGGAAGGAGGAAGGAAGAGACAGCTGGATTAGCTATCGTAAATTGTGTGCAACCGCACCGTACTACTACACCATCCGTACTCAGGACCACTAGTAGACGCTGGTAGTCGCCTGTACACGCTAGATTGATATCTATAGTTTCCCAGATCCGACGCTGACAAACGCTAGGAACGCCTATTGTCGCTGGTGGACAGTGGTGGTAGCTGATGAACGCGGCTGCAAAGTATGAACGCAGCCTTGTCTCGAGCGTTCTGTAACGATCTATT